AATATGTAAGTGCACCTTTGAGTGTGTGTGTGTGTGTGTGTGTGTGTGTGAGTGGAGGGGATGGTGTCGGCAGAATGGCGGGGAGGAGGGCAATGAGAAGGTGTGGGAGGAAAATGCGCTGTTTGAGATGGAGGTGTTTTGTTAGTCTTTCTCTGCGGCTTTTTGCGACCGTTATCTGCTCAGTTATTTTGATACGGACAGTGATATCCATGTAGTGGGAGCTGATGTGGGGGAGGGTGATCCCTCCCTCGCCAACCACCACCACCACCATCATACCCCCCCCGCCATCCCAGTCAGCCATGATTAAAGAACATTTACACACACACAAAGAAAATGGGGGAAAGGGAGAAAGTTGAATTGACGATGGAAGCAGAAGTCGGAAAGCAAAATAGAACCAAATTAAAAACAATACAAAGCGGAAGAAGAAAAATTATGAAAGAAAGAAAGAAAGAAAGAAAGAAAGAAAGAAAGAAAGAAAGAAAGAAAGAAAGAAAAAAAGAAAGAAAGAAATTCACTATTTTGTTAAAAGAAGGATAAAGAAAAATAAAGAAGAGACAAAGCAATACAGGAACGTAAGAAAGGAGAATAAAGAGGAGCAAAAAAGGAAGAAATTAAGAAAGAAAGAACCAAAGAAAGAAAAAAGAAAGAAAAGAAGAAAGAAAGACAGTTTTAATGCAGTAGTGATGCAAAAGAGAAAGAAAGCATAGACAATAGAAATGCAAGAAAAAAATAAAGAATAGACAGTAATAAAGAAAGAAAGAAAGAAAGAAAGAAAGAAAGAAAGAAAGAAAGAAAGAAAGAAAGAAAGAAAGAAAGAAAGAGTGAATGAGTAAATAGACAGGAGTAATATAAGAACGGAAGAAAGAATAGACAATAGTAATAGAAAGAAAGAAAGAAAGAAAGAAAGAAAGAAAGAAAGAAAGAAAGAAAGAATAAAGAATAGAGCAGTAATGAATGAAAGAAAGAAAGAATAGACATAAGTAATGCAAGAAAGTCAGAAAGGAAGAATAAAAGTAAAAAAGAATTCCGTATTTCCTTTTAAAATAAAAGTAAAAAACGAAGTGATAGCAATAGAAACAAAAAAAATAGAAAATAAAATAAAAGAAAGAAAGAAAGAAAGAAAGAAAGAAAGAAAGAAAGAAAGAAAGAATGGATGAAACTCAGTGCAAGAGAGGAAAACAAGAGAATTGAGAGGAGAGGAGAACCAAAGTGTAAAATGAAGTGGGGGAGATCTGACAGATTGTAACGGAAAAGAGAAACGGATATTAATAAAGAAAGAGACAGAAAGAAAGAATCGTGAACGAAAAAGAAAGCTAGACTAAAAACGAATGAAAATGAAGATGTTGAATAAAAAGAAGTAAAATAGCTTTGAAGAATGTGACAACTGACAGGGTGGTTTTCTTTCTTTCTTTTTTTAAAGAAAAAAATGTTTATGCAAGAAGAAAGAGGAACGAATTTAGAAGAGGAAGAAGACAAAGAAAAAGGGATGCAAGTTTGAGATGAAGACAACGATGAAAAAGAAAGGGACGAAGTTGAAGAAAAAAGGGGGTAAATTAAAGGTAAGAAAAAGCAGAAGGTCGAAGAGGAGGAGGAGGAGGCGGAGGAGAAACAGAAATAAAAGAAGATAAAAGAATAAGGAATGGAATGGAAGAAGAAGGAAAACGGACGAAAAGAAAAGAAAAAAAGAGGAGCATGACAGAAGTATTAAAAGAAAGAAGAAGATAGAAAGACGAGAAATTAACAAAAAAGGAAAAGAAAGGGAAGGAAAAGAAAGGGAAGGAAAAGAAAGAAGAGGGTCAGGGACACAAAAGAAAGAAGTAAAAAAGAGTTATATATATATATATACGACGATCGCAAAAGCGTGAAACCCGGGGTTACAAACTCATATTCATACAACTGAATCCGTAAGCTCTATCACTAATATTGAGCACTTCCAATAAGTACCGCTCATATATAATATATATAGAAATTATATATATATATATATATATATATATATATATATATATATATATATATATTAAAATTAATTGATTTAAAATATATTTTTCGCTACACAGTTCTAACCATGTTTCAAAAATGGAAGCTAAAAGCCCCGAATTTAATTTTGTAATTAAATTAAAGACATTAGTTCCATTTCATCCTCAAGCGAATTTTGGAGTAATTTTTAAAATTACTGGATTTTAAATACACAGCTAAAACAAAATTAATGTTTCCAAGGTTACAAATAAATCTATTTTGCTAGACTAGGGGTGTCTGGGTGTTCAATATGTCTATATTTTAATGTATCAGTTATTGCTACGTTTTGGTAGTGGGTAGGGATGTATTTTTCAATGAAATCTAACATCCGTTAAAAGCGTGTCGTCTGGATTTTTTTTAAATTTTATTGTTAACGGCTAAAATTCTTACGGCATTTTTTTCTTCGTATATTTAAAGATTTTTGGGGATGTTTAGGTAAGAATACTTTTTATTTAACTACGATTTGAAATATTTTTACTTTTAATTTTTAATATACTATATTTCTTTCAAGAACAATTAAATGTAAAATTTATAATATTAATGCTCTGTAAATTTACACTGAGCACTATTTTGTAAAAATAAAAATATCTATAAGAACACCGGATTATATATCTTACTGTTCTTTCTTTTTATTTATATATACACACACACACACACACATATATATATATATATATATATATATATATATATATATATATATATATAATTGCGTATTTAGGCATCAATCCTTGATTTATTACATATTTCATTAAAGACGACAGACAAAGTACTGCGATGAAGCTTTAATTTTTCTTGTTTTCGAACAAGCGTTTTACCACCTCATTGTATAAAAAACCAGTAGCTGAAACTGTTGCCACCTTAATTTTAATAGTGAATGTCCACTCAGATACAAAATAGCAGT